ATGGTTTGGTTATGAAAAGTCTGACATGGACCAGAAAACTGTACTATGCAAATTATGCCACAAACTGGTCCCCACCTCAGACTCAAACATGGCAAACCTCTTCAACCACGTAAACAAGAATTACGTGGAAGAGAATGGAGAGAATTTATGGGTGAGAAGCAAAAAAGAGCTGTCAGGTGCACAAAATAACCCTTAGATTCAAACTCTAGAACAGGCTTTTCCCAGCAGCATGTCATGTAATAAATACAAAGTAAATGGCTGCTGTTAAAACTTATGTCTAAAAATGTATAGGTTCATGCATCGATCAAAATACTTGACTCCAGCTACGTGACGCCCAACTGAAAACACTTCACGCAAGCTGAGTTGACCAAGATTGACAAAATTTACAGAACAATTTTTGCGATATATATTGTTACCAGGATGAGAAATATATTTTATTGGGATATGAGATTTTGGTCATATTACATCGCCCTAATATGACCCCCTATGAGCAAGTGGAAGAAAGCTAGAGATTAATAATAACAACAATTACATGCAGAGAGGAGTAATATAGGAAGACTGGGAATCCCATGGCAGCCTACACGTATTACAGTGCTATTAAGGGAGGATTCAGAGTAATCTGATCCAGCCATAACTATGTGCTGTGACAAAAAAGAAAGTTTTAAATGCATAACTACTCTTAAGATTTCTCAAAGTGTTACTGGAGGTCAAGGTAATGACATCTAGATTAAGTATCTGGTTAGATCATATTTCTAAGATTTTTAAGTATTGGGATGCGATGCATGCTTGGTAGCCTGTCTCACAACCCCTATAATATCAGCATCAGACTTTGATTTGGTGATAGTACTAGAGCTAAGTCAAAATAATGCTGTAGCTTGGTTTTATGGAACCAGCTGACTTATGGCATGGTCTATATCCAGGTCGGTCAAAGCCGACACTCAGGCACCAAATTGTCAGCACCTGGCCTATCAGAAGTGAGTGAATAGAAGAATATGATGTTCGGCACTGTATACACAAATCATCCTCATGAGCAAAGAACTACAGCACAATAGTGATTTAGATCCAGTGTCATCACTTACTGAGCTATATGTCTGTCCTGCAGGGTGAAGTCCTAGTACAGCTCAAATCCTTGGAGCATAAATGGATTCAGAACAGAAAAATCCCACCAGCTCTTCATGCTGTTCCATGAAAAGTGACAACTCAAAAGAAGAATCTTTATTTTTCAGCAAGGGTGAAAGGTATTTTAGTTACTCTTTTTCTGCCCAGCACCATCAGACCTTAGTGAGTGCTGACTCTCACTACGTGATTTCATTTTCTGTTCCAACTCACTAATGTTAAAAGTAGAGAGGATTGTCTGTCTCCCAAATCCAAACTAGATCATATCCTTGATATGGATATTGTGAAAATTAAGGTGAAATGTGTAACAAAGAAGAAACTGTCCTCTAGGAAGAAAGAAATGAGGCTAAAATGAGACATAGAAGACATTATAGATTCTCATGTTCTAGTGTAGCTTAAGACGGGTAGACAAAGGGCTAACCATGGAATCTATCTCAAATAAATAACAATAAACAATAAAATTGGGTGATAGTTCCTTAGATGGATGGTAGGTGGGTGCTGGAATTCTGTTGGCCATGAGTTTTTCTGTTCCTTCATCCTAAGCAGAGCAGCACAGGTGGCCTTCCAGTGATGACACCTGAAGCCATAGTGTTGAACAGAACAGAATGTATGGTGTTATGGGCATATTATATCCAGGCCAAGTGGGAGCTCCAAGTGGTGTAGTTGGAAGATGCAATTCACTGTGTATATAAATATATATATATATATATTGCATTATATTGTTTATAAATATGTTTAGCTACACATTTTTGCGGGCAGTGGCTATAAAAACTATAAATAAACAAACAGTGATGCTATCACTTGACAACACTTGCTGTTGTCAAGTGATAGCAGTTAGTAAGTTTAAAGATGCACTTCCCAAGTCTAGAATGTCTAGAAAATGTAATGTATGGATCAAAATGATTACATAAATCACTTTATAACGTTTATAATTGTTTTCTTTTCAAAGGAACGTAATTCCATCTGGAACAATGCTCCCCGATAGTGGACTACAGGAAAAAACTGTATGTTAAATTGTTTAACTTAATTCTAGTACTTTCTGTTTGGAAAAGAATATTGATGTTCATTGATCTAACGTCAGTTTTCCTTTTACTTCATTTTGTGTGCAGGCAGACTGTGACCTCAGACTACCACCACTAATTGAAGACTGGACCAGAGAACATGTGAAAGATTGGCTGGTGATTACACTTAGGGTACCGAATTATGTTGCACAGAGCCTCTATGAACAAGAGTTTTCAGGGGCTTGCTTGGCCTCCTTTGAAAAACAAGACTTGTTAGACTTAGGTGTTCCACTTGCTCCAGCAATACAAATTATTAGACAAGTTGCGAAATTAAGGAGGAATTCAGAAACATTTAATTTAAGTGCAAGATTATCAAAAAGTTATTATACTGATGAATTTGTTGAAACTAAAACAGTGTCATCAGATTCGGGAATCCAAAGCGAAAGCTCTGTATTTGTTGAAGACACATTTCAGACAGGAAGAGACAGAATTAGATCAGTAACAGATCAAAACACAAAGATCCATGCACAGTTTGATAATGAAATTATTGACAACACAACAGAGCTACAACTTAGGCGACCAATGTCTCAAATTCGTCCCTTTGACAAAAATATTTTCTCCACAATCTACACGGAAAATGAAATTTTTCCACCTGCAGCTGGTCCAACTAATCTCCTCGACCCAATCCACGAGTACCAACTTCTGCCTAATGCATCTGAAGCTGATGAAAGAGAAATCTTATATGAATTCACAAGGGAAGTGTTTAGCTTTGCTGCAAGCTGCATGAATTCACGAACCAATGGAACTATTCATTTTGGGGTTAACAACCAACAAGGACCACAACATGGTCAGGTTATTGGACACACAATCACCTCTTTCAATAAGTATATTGAGGCATTTAAATTATCAGTGAGTGAATATTTTGACGAACAACATGTAAACGCTGCTAGAATGTGCGTCAGACCTCCTACTTTTATACAAGTTTGCAATCAAGATGGAACAACTTCAGACAAATGGGTTGTTGAGGTTGATGTAGTTCCAACATATTCAGAGACTCAGCACATTCTTTTTTATACTCAACTGAGTATTACAACAGCAGAAACAAGTCAGCAATGCAAAACTGACTGCCTCTTCGTCAGGGATGGCCCAAGGTCAATCAACATTTTAGCAGACACAAACCATCGGGTGGTTCAAGAGGAAATGAAAAGCTTGACAGAGAAAGTGAAGCACTGGGCATCAGCACGCAAGTCAGCAGAAGAAAAGAATGAGAAACTCCAACCACAAGGCCACCAGGGCCAAAGACTAAAGCAGCTCATAACCCGTGGAAGAGATTCTTTTGATAATTCCCTGCAAGTCATTGCAGTTACTGACAAATGCCATTCAAGTCAACTGGAGCACTTAGATTTTCTAAGTGAGATGAAGTTGTTTGTTGTTCTTGAGTTTGACCCAGAATCTGATGTAAATGGAACATGCAGTTTTTACAGAAGACACCACACAGCCAATCTGCACTACCCACGAATGTATACCACTCAAGACAGTTTGACTGCAACCATTAGAAAGCTAAACTTGTTTAAACAAACAAGCTGGATTTTCTGCAATGGAAAGGTAAATGAAGATAGTGAGGCAGACAAGCCTCTCGCACCCAGTGAATGGCTTAAGAGACGCTCTGGTGATATCAGCAACTTGATATCTCTGCTTTGTAAGACAGATTTGCTTTCCAAGGATAGACTCCTGGTGATATTTATTCTTCACTCTGCAGAAACTGACATCTCAAGCCCTCTTCTGGAGACATTCTGTGCCATCTATCGCACGCTAGAAGGAGCTGATAATATTGTGTGCATATGCAAAGATGCCAATATATTCACTGAGTGGAAAAGGCTGGTTGAGTATCGGTGTAAGGAAGACATCACCAGTAAATGCATTTATGAGCTAAGTCTGAATGAAATTTCCAGCACCATCAAAAAACTCAAAGAACCTCAAACACAGTCCTCCCAGAGATACTTGCCATCCACTGGCTCAAGCTCAGTCCAACTGACAAGAAAAGATGAAGAGCTTTTCACTGCTTTGGACATCTTGTGTGAAAATGAATGTGAGAACACAGAAATTGAAACAATGGATTCTTTTCAAGAGTTTAAGAAGAAAACAGAGGAAGATTTTTACAGAGGAGGACAAGTTACATGGTGGAATTTTTACCTTTCTGAGCAGACTGGGAGTCTGCCTTTCATCAAGCGAGACAAATACAATGAGCTATATGACTTGATCACACCTGTTCAAGGCTACACATCTCTTTGTGTAGTAATAAATCTATTCCATCACCCAGGATGTGGTGGAACAACTTTAGCAATGCATGTCCTTTGGAACCTAAGAAGAAAATTCAGATGTGCTGTTGTTAAAAACAACATGGAAAGTAATAAGGAAATTGCCACCCAAGTCATGAATCTTATGATATATGGCAAACAAGAACAGCCAGGTTATGTCCCTGTTCTTCTCTTGGTGGACAACTGGGAAGATGTAACAGACCTAAAACAGTGCATGAATGTTGCCAATAATAGAAAACAACTTAACAGTCCCATGGTAATTATACTGAACTGTGAGAGGACCCAGTTTCCTGATGAGAGCTCCAGAAACAGACACTCTGAAAATGTGTTCATCATGAACCAGTTGTCAACTAAAGAGCAGAATTTGTTTTCTGAAAAACTTGAACAGCTCAAAATTGACCACAAGAAGCCCGAAACCTTCTATGCCTTCATGATCATGACAAATAACTTCAGTGAGACGTACATTAGAGATCTGGTGAGCAATACTGTTAAAGATCTTGACACTACTACCCAACAGGGTCAATTATTATCCTTCCTAGCTTTGCTGAACACCTATGTCAATGGATCCTACATGTCCTTGTCTCTGTGTGAAGAACTAGTGGGCATAAAGGATGCCCTGTACAAGCGAGAAACTCTTGATGACAAAATGAAACCCTATTCCACACTGCTGATAACCTTCAGGATCGAAGAACATGGCACCTATCAAGCAGTGCGATTCTTGCACCAGATGATTGCAAGTATGTGTCTTAAAGTTATTAATCAAAAACATAAACTTTCTCTGTCTGAGATAACCATCAACATTTTGCACGGTGACAGAGTTTACAAGTCATGCATGGGAAAGGATTTTCTGGTCCAAAACATTCAGAGCATGCTCATCACACGCCACAGAAAAGAACAAGGAGATGACAAAGACACGCAGTTTTCCCCTTTAATTGAAGAAATATATGCTGAGGAAGGACCTGACAAAACCAAAGAAGTCTTAGAAAGAGCCACAGTGAGGTTTGACAGAAGTGCAACACTGCCGCAAGCACTGGCAAGATACTTCTGCTTGAAAGAAGAAGACTTCACATCAGCCCTGCATTGGGCTTTGGATGCACAAAGTAAAAACCAAAATTCCTACATTGCAGATACAGTTGGACAAGTTTATAAGACCAACCTCAAAAAGAAAATCCAAAATTGTGTAACTCCTGAAGAATATGATGAATGCCTAATATTGGGTGTCAAAGCTGTAAAAGCATTCCAGGAGTCACAGGAGCTTGCTAAAAGAGATGAACAAGTAGATCCTTTTGATCTGCATAGCAGAAAGAGATCAAAATCCTACAATACATCAGGCTATGTTGGAGAGACAGAAGTAATGATTATCCTTCTTGACAAAATTAAAGATCTTCCACTCTCTGTCAGTGGCAGATATAAAAGAGATAAAATGCTTCAGTTTCTCAAAGGGCACCTTGAAGAGAAAAATCTATATGATTACAGCAACACAACTACCAATGAATATGTACGTGTTCTGGCAGAACACAAGAAATTTCTTGTCTCCTTGAGGCCAAGGCTGAAAGAAATGTTCAGTTTTTTTGAGAATTATTTTACATACCTGAAGCCTAGGTCAAAGCAAAAGGAAATGGCTGATGAAAGAAATAAACAAAAAGTAGATGAGCACTTCAGCACGTACATCCAAGTCTTCAGTAGTTCAGAGGAGGAGAAAGCATCCGAAAAGGCCAGAAACCCCAATCTAAGTCTCAGGCAGGAAATACTGGACCAGAAGTTAAACCTGGAAACAAAGCGTGCAGACACATTTGCTGGAATTTTGCAGCTTTGCTTGAAAGATAAACCAAATCGAGATGAAATGGAGGACATTGTCAAAAAATGGACTTTTATCTATGAAAATTCATCATTTGTCTCAGATACAGTAAACTTCATTTTGGCAAACATAGTCTTGCACAGCATCAAGCCGTCTTCAAAGTTGGTGAAAAAATATGAAGAGCTGGTTGAACTTCTGAATGAGGAACTGCAAAAAGCGGGCACCCGTTCAAATCTAACAGAACTGTACTACCTCTCCATGCTGCTCCTGTGGCCTACAAAAGACAAAAAGCTCGAAAGCTTTGCAGCATACCAAAATATCAGCACATATATCACAGCAGCCAAGAAATCCTTCCATCAGCGCTTCTCTTACATGTTTCCAGCAAGGAGTACTATAGCTCATTTCTTTCTTGGAAAGTCCAGTGGACTAAAGCGAATAGTTTCTAAAGCAAAACTTGATCAAATTCTGCTTCGTGTTTTAAAGCAAGACTCTTCCAGCAGTGAGAGTACTCATTCAAGAAATCTGCACCATCTTTGGCAGAGTGGTGCGGCATGGAACCAGCCAGAGGTGCAGAGGGAGCTGTTAAGGATCAAAGGAAAATCAGAAAATGGTGAAATTTATGTTAACTTTGGAGCCAACCTAAAAATATTGGTGCGCCCAGTTTACCTGGGTGATATTCGAAGTGGATACAGTCAGGAGGAAGTATCCTTTTACCTTGGATTCACTATGGAAAGCCCTGTGGCCTATGATGTTAAGTATGTAAAAAACTAGTGAATGTAAAAACACAATGTGCTAGGTTAAGACTGTTTCCTTGTCTGGCAACAGAAATGGCAACATGGGAAGAAGACACAAGAGGAAAGGCTCATTAGAGAGTAAAATGGCTAAAATAGTGAAATAGGCAAATTTTACAGTGTCATAAATACTTACAAAAGTTTCTTTGGGGTATCATACATATTTTTATGTTCAGTACTGGGCTGATCACCGCTGTTGTTGGTGGAAAAATTTACCCGGTCAAACAATCCAAAAATAATATGGCAATGTGTGACATTTGATTGTTTAGGAAGAGGAGAAAGTTGTAGGAGTGAAACTGGCGGGAGAGAGCGATCGATATTGATATCAAGTTTTAAGACCAGAGAGATTTAGTGTGTTTGCAGTGTAATTAGTGTGTAGTGTGGTCATTTTTGTTTTGTGTGTCAAAACAATGAGAGCACTACTGAATATCTCAGTTGCCAGCCAAAAGTCACCAAAGGTAAATTACAATGTAAACGCTGTGTCCAGGTCTGCAGGTTTTAGCCCCGTGGTGTGCTCCTCTGTCTTGTGGTGAACAGTAACAATTTTTCGACTGGCACAAATAATTTGTATGGTATAATATTGTGACGTGTAATTGTTCTGTAATTTTCATCTTAGTAGTAGTTTTAAACCGTTGTACAAAAACACACCTGAGGCATTGGCTGCATTTTTAGGTAAATAGTTGCATATAACTTAGCTGTTTGAAAAACATGTACATGATTTTATTTAAAATTTTTATTTGCATTCCAAGTTATAAAAATGATTCATTAAACATGTTTATGGTTTTTACAGGAAAAAATATTTTGTTTTTGATTTTTTGATTTTTTTTTGTGTGTGATGTGTTAATACAGCAAGTCAAAATGAAAAAAATAACTGTAAATTCAGACATGTTTGGTTGTGCTGAAAAGAATGATATCGAACAAGGCAAGGTAAACAGTTTTATTATGTGAAATGTAAAAGTAAAATCAAAAGCAGTGACAAATAGACAATTATACCCTGGACCCCAGAGGGGTAACCCTTTCCAGACTGACATCAGTGACTTTGTTTCTCAACTGTTTCTTTGGGTCATAGCATGTTGTGTTGTTTGAAACTGAAGCTTTGCAAAAGAAATGTGGTTAATCAAAGTTAATTCACAATTTAGCAAGGTCACTTTTTTGCAGGTTTGGATTTTTCCCTCTTAATAATAAACACCTTCATATAGAATCTTTTGCATTTATTTGTGTTATTTTTGTCTAATTTAATTTGTTTGTTTGATTATCTAAGTGTAAGATGGGTGCTATGACATGTTTTTTTTCTAATTATTATATTTATGTTATTTAATTTTTATCATCATAATTGGAATCTGTGCATAGTGCCTTATTTCTTCCTAGTATTTTTTACAGTTCATAATGACAAGTGGTATCTAACCAGGTATTAAGTAAGACTTGCTTTTATATATGGTTTGGAGGCAGTGGCTCTGACAATAAGACAGGAGGCAGAGCTGCAGATGACAGAGCAGAACATGTTTAGAATTTCACTGAGAGTGACCAAGATGAACAGGAATAGAAATGAGTATATTAAAGGGACACTTACTATATAGGATATTAAGTAAATAGTGTCAGGGAGGGGCGGAGAAAGAGTGGACTCGACAGCGGAGCTCCTTGCAGGTAAACAGTGTGCTTTATTTACAATGTGGTGAAAACAGTGAACAGCTGATCCATGAGCAACGAAAGGTGAGTGGGTGGTTTTCTCCTCTTCTTTTGGTCCGTGCCCGAGTAGAGAATAATCCCCCGTATCCTCCAGTGACCCTCGTCCCAGGTAATGATTAGCCCTTGGAATTCCTCTCCTCGCGGTCCCTGGTGGCAAACAAACAGAGCACAACGATGACGAGACAGTTCCTGAGGGAGAGGTTTAATCCTCATATCAGCAACTATACTACCGAGCCTTGCTAATACTCCAGCGCTGACTGAAGGTCGACCGCTCCGTTAAATAGTCCAGCTAAGATGGCGGATGAGTAGCAGCAAGTGCGAAGGCTTCAGCACGGGGACGCTCACAGGAGCGCGCGCCCCCGACAGACGTAAACAAACAGAGATGGGAGAGGGAGCGAGAACACAACATCACGG